TAAAACTGGTTGCGGGGGCGGGGTTACCAGTGGGGGCCCCCCAAAAAGGCCCACAAAATATTTCCAGGGGTTTGGCCGGTTTAAATCCGGGCCCCCCACCTTTTTCAAGGGGGGGAAAAAATTCAAATTTCCCTCCGTTTCCCCGGGTTTTCATGGCCTTTATAGGGGCCCCCCGCCCATTTTTTGGGGCCCAACCCCGGGGCCCATAATTGTTGTCCCCGGTTTTTGGTTTCGTTTTATTGGGTTTGGCCCCGGGTTAAATTTAGGAAAACGGGGGTAAAACTTCACCGGTGGGCGGAAAAAAAAAGCGTTTCGGCCGCCCCCGGAGTTCCTCGGATTGGAGTTTCCCTTTCCCGCCGGGTCCCCGGAAAGGGGGCGGTTTTGGGGGCCCCGGAATCCGGGGACCCCGCCCGGGGAGGCCGAGTGGGCCCTCCCGGGCCACCGGGGGGGGGGGGGGGGGGGGGCGTCCTCTTATGGTGTGCATGCCTTAGCGGTTAGACCATTGACCACGCGTCCTCCGTCTCTTTCGATTGCTTGTCTTACTCGATTGACCGTTGACCGTTGACGACGCGTGGTCACCCCTTGTTTAAGACTGACAACCTAATATGCATTCTCTGCTGGGTTTCCCCGCTGATGAAGTCAGGAGCGGTGGTAGCGCGTTCTATTCGTTCGGTCCCGTCTACGATGCAAGGTCCTTGGTGCCTCACTGCCATGTGCTAATACCGCCACCGCCGCATCTGCATCTTGCTGTATAGTCGTGGGCGGTGGTCCCTCTACAGGGCTGGGTCCCTCTACAGGGAGACCGGTGAATTATCTCACTTGGCACAGATAATAGCAATTATCAACTTGCATGATTACGTTGTAGCGGGTGCCCGCTTCAAAGGGCGGGCGAATCGACTTGGTGGCACATCGCCGTGTTTATCGAGATTCCATGACTGCATATAGTCTAGGTATATATCTCGCCTTCTTGAGCAGGTTCTCCGCCGTCATCTCCGGAGGAAGCCGCCGTTCCCCCGCCTCCTCCGAACCACCACCTCCAGCGTTGGCCGTGTCACGTGCCCCCAGGCGCACCATCCAGCGGTTGGCTCTTAGCTCCGCCTTCGCGGCGGCGGCAGCGGTTGTCCTCCCTGACGGGAAAAAAAGCATAAAGGGTGGGCGGGGGGGCGCGGAATAGCTGGGCCTCGAGCTAGTGGAGGGGGGGGGGGTCGCGGGATAACTAGGTCTCGAGCTAATGGCGGGGGGGGAGGCGTGAAATAGGTATGAGTCTCGGTCCGGGGGAGATTCGAGTTGAATACATACGAACAACAACGGTGAGCTAGAAAATATGGAATCCTTGTGGTCCTTGAACACTAGATGGTACCGTTTGGACGCAAGGCATCGCAACCAAACTGAGGTTTGGTCGCTCTTTGAAATCGTGTGGAGATTCGAGAGGTGTCAAAACGTACCGAACTCACACTGCACTCGACCTTATTTATGTGATTGCGATACAAGGCATTTGGTTGAGTGACAACGGGTACAACGAAGACGAGGCTGAACTAAGGTGCAGCAAACAGTGAAAACGGGGTAAAACATCTTGTGAAATCTCCCCAAGCGCAATTTGCACAACAAGCCTTCGGCAAAAATGCGGCCACTCACGATCTCCCTGCGTGCCATTGTACCACAACAACGGCTGCTCTGTAGCTCAGATGTGGTCTATCGTACTACACGCGCTTGGTTGTGCGTGGCGTGCGCAGAAAGAGAAGTGCTGGCGCACACACACTTTTTCCACGCCCCCATGTAAGGTGGAGGGAAAACGCACTGCTGTGGTAAATTGTGCTTACTCCCCGTCTTCTCTGCGTTCGGCGTATTATCAGTTGTGCGTCCCACCTTGAGTCTCGGAGAGGAGCTGCAGGCACTTGCCGTTCGTTGTCCTGTTGTCGCAGCAGACCTGGACATGACATATTTGTATGGCATATGGAACGATCGACGATTGTAACGTTCTCTTTTTGTGCGAGTCTCCTCCCCCCTCCCCCACATTGAAATATTTTTCCAGCTTCTCCCTGCTAATTGAGCCTACCTTTGTCCTTGTCCTCGCACCCCCCACCTCCTAAACGCGTATCTCACCTCGAACTCCGCCCCAAAATCGGTAGGCTCGATGTTTGCCCTCTCGCAACTGAGAGCCATGAGGGTGTCGCGGTGTTGGAGGACGACCTGTCAGATTGTTAGATTCAGGTGATACGACGCGGCGCTATTGTAAGATGGCGCCAAGGCTCGGCGAACCAAGTTGTAGTTCAGCAGTTTGGTTCGACTTGCAGTCGTTCGGGGTAGTAGTCGCGTTCGAATAACGTTGGTGCCACGTGTATTGGAAGAGTCATATAAAGGGGTTGACGTGGTAAAGGTTGACGTGGTAGCTGCAGCAGCATCCCCCCCATCCCCACCACCACCAGCCAGCCAAAACAACAATACCAAACGGGCCGCAGGCGTCGGCGATGAGACTAACAACAGCGACGGTTTGTCAAGCCAGTGACAACAATGACAACGAAAACAATGATCGCAACGACATTTACAACCAGCAGACTTTGGCGGCCAACAGAGCAGACGGCACCAGACAACCTACCTCGGTGTCGACACACACGGGGGAGCCGACGCCCAAGATCCTGTCCACCCTCCCGTCCTTGCCGTGGGTGGCCTTCTGAAACTGCCACACGGTCCCGCTCGACGCGCCAGCCCTTAGAAACACCGCTTGCTTGTTGGAAACCTTCGAAGACAGGTTCTGTGTCTTGAGGTCTGTCCGGGATGCGACACGCGTAGAACGCCGATCGATGTGGGCCCACATTTGGGCCATCGACAGAATGAAGCCATGATTGGGGTGGTGTGTATGCGCGGAAGGACTGGGGGTTGATTTTGCCCAGCCGTAGCGCGCCTTCTTGTACTTTTCCTGTTGTATAGATATGGGGAGCGTTTATCCCATCCGTTCTTGTAGGGGCTACAGGGTTGACACTCTTCTGCATGGCACCGTTTGGATGGGCGCACACCGCTTCTTGTTTTACGAAGGACACGGCTCGGTTTTCAGTACTTTCTGAGCTGAGCGCAAACCTTGTTTGAAACCCTGCCCGTACAGAAAGTGCCAATGGTTTCGACAGAACGTCTCACTCAACGCGAAGATATATGGCAGACCCTCCAAAACCTCATCCCGGCGTGCACGTTGGCGCGGTTCGTTGACACCATCAGTCCCGCCTCCAAGCAACCCGCCCGAAGTCTTTTATTGCGACACTGCGAGCAACCTCGGCCCCGCCGATTTCGAACAACCCGCCGGAGCACACCCTTGGAAAACCGCGTGCAGATAATCATAGCTAACACTTTGCTTATCCTTGGAAAACCAAGCGGAGGCAATCATCGCAACAAAAAACAACGTTTATCCTGGGAAACCAACCCAAAAATCATCGCAGTGAACAGCAACGCTTATCTTCCGTAATCAACCAAGAATCATCGCAAAGAAAACAATGCTCATCCTCGGTATCCGACCAAGCGGAGACAATCATCGTAACGAGTTCGTCACCCACCCGAGGTGAGGTAGAGAGGTGGTCGCCGCATGTTGACGGATTCGCACACGCGGAGACCCGGGTCGCCGACGAGGTGAAACAGGTCACCGTACCCAACCTTCACAGTTAGGGTCAGGGTACCACGTCGAGCAGCACATGTTCTTTTGCTCAGTTGCGGATGAAAACAAAATGACGGTTTCATTTTGGGTAGTCGGTCTGTGACCGCGGAAGGCATTCCGGGTCAGCTGGACCCGTACCGAAGATAAAAGGTACTGAGCGGAGACCGGACGGCTGACAATGTGAAATACTAACAAAACAACAACCACAACAACAACAACAACAACGATTTTTCTAGACATTGGAGTGGAGTGCGTGCGGTGTCGTGCAGGAACGTTTGTGACAAAAACGTGGCGGGTGCTGCAGCTCAATTCGGGCTCACTCACTCACTCATGGTAGCGATTCGGCAAAGAGCGCGCGATTTAGTTGGTCTGTTGCCACAGAAAATGTCTTATCGCAGCATGGTCAGCAGGGTACGTGGACCGTATGAAAAAAACGACAGCGAGAGACACAACAAGCAAGCAACGGCAATAGATGAGCGGTACTACCTACTTCTTTTTTCCTACCATCAACACTAACAGCAGTACATACCGTGAAGCCAACCTCTGGATACCTCTGGGTGTTGTCTATTTCTTTCCCATGCACTCACCGGCTGCCCTTCGACGTCCGGCAGCTTGTCCCTCATCTCTTTGTGCATCTGTACCTGTGTCGCCATATCCTGCGCGCATGATTTGCCAGTCATTCCGAAGCGGCTCGAATCAGTCGATCGAGGCAGTCATACCCGTAGGGCGCACGTTGAAAGAACGGCATGGTAGCTGCAGCGGTCACCCACAAGACCAGTTAAGCTCGCACGCCCTCAAAACTACCCCGTCATAACCCAGCTCGGCATCCAGCTAGCTATTTTCTCCCCACCCTTGGATATGTAGTTTTTCTCTGGACAACAAACGCTGTTTGGTTCGGGGCCATCGAGCAGGTTTTCTCTCACATTGAGTAGGGGGGGGGACCTATCCCACCGCGGTACTACCTAGGACATTCAAACACCGCATATGTGGGATGCGAGAGACAGACAGAAAATCCTGTTCCGGTGAAAATTGATCCTCGGCTATAAGCTCAACCAAAACTACATTGTTTCCGTTGGCTGTGGGTGTTGAACCCAGCTGTCGACCCCGACAACGTCGCCCTTGATCTTTTTCGTCGTCGGAAGGAATGAAGCCATGGTGAAAGAAAGCTTAGAGGCGATCGGTATTGTGAATTTAACAAGGGGTAAAAGTTTTCGGGAGGGCGAAAAAAGATCTCCGACGCACGACCCTCTCTCAATTCCGCGACCACACCGCTGGCGATAACCAGTTTCCCAACAATACCTGACAGCAGGCTCACTCAGGGCGCGACGGCCTCGCCTGATCCTCCCTACCTTAAGCCGCGGGTCGTTGACCGCGACAACCTTGAAGGCCATGCGGGCGGGCGAGGGGGACTGTGGAGGGCATGGGCAGACCGTAGCGAGGTAGGTCTGAGAGCCGAGAGAGATTTCCTCGAAAGGATCGCACGCTAGGATACCGCCGACCTTCGGGAGGGAAGAAGGAAACAGCCAGCCGGGCAAGAAACAGCCGGAGTAATAGTATCAGGGGGAATGTTGGAATTCTCGTCATTATACATATGATAGAGCCCGCAGTAGAGCCGCAGAGATGCTATCGTTGCCCGCACCTCTCTACGGACTCATGGCGGAGAACACCGTGTTTTGACCCTTCAGGGATGATGGTACATAGTGTAACAGTTTGCACAGCACAATATGGGCCAAACCCCATTGCGAAACTGTGACTATTAGTAGTGCATCAAATATAACCTGTGAAGGCATTGATCCGAACATGCATGTTGGTGTTATCAACAGGGCGCTGAAAAGATTCTGCCGAAGCCTACGACGGCGTGCACAAGTTTTGCAGCACAGAGCTTGTGCTTCGGTCACCTCTTGCGCTAGAGGAGTATAGCTGGATCGTGACAGCAAGCCACGCAACGGGCCACACCATCAACAGCAACATGAACAGCACCACGACAACAAAAACAATGACACTGGCAACGACGACAACGACGACAACATCCCCAACAATGGCAACAAAAATGACAACGACAGCGACAACAACATCAACGACATCAACAACGACAACAAAGGTTTTCTCGAAGCAAACGCGCCACGTCGTTTGCCCAACACATAGATAGCTCTCTTGGCCGGCCGCTCACCTCAGCGCTCTCAAGCTGGATGACGCTGCCATACCGCAAGATTTTATCCTCACTGTACGACAACGGCACCTGTTGGCATGTTACACGAAACAACACCGTTGAGAGGCGCCACAACGCGAAGTAATGTTTGGAGATATGGCGATCGACGCAGAGAGGAGTGATTCTGTCACTCAAGGGTGAATTGCTGTAATTCCCACCAGGCAATTCTGATACCTCTTGCAACATGCTTTCCCCGGCTGGCGCGTCAAACATTCACCGAATGGTGTTAACTAGCGCCCAGAACAGTAGAGACGGCAGCACCGCACGCAACAGGCAGTGCAACCGGAGCAGCAGCAGCAGCAGCAGCAGCAGCAGCAGCAGCAGCACACATCGACAGTCTACCCTCTTACGAATGTTCTAGCACCGGCCTCCCCCCCGTCCCCCCCCCCGATTTCCCTACCCCGAGAGGGATGTGGTCAGGCATCAAAGTATTTTTCCTTTCAAGGACTCAGCAAGTGAATCCTCCCCACCTCCCCCCCCCAGCCGGGCTTACTTTCTGCATGCAGGTATCCATTTTCTTCCTACGGTAGTCGGAGGCCAACAGCTTGCGGTCTTTTCTGTCCGTGAATGCCTTGAACCGCCCTTCCGCGAGACGCTCGTCCTCGTACCTGCAAGAAGAGAGGATTAGTTGCCGCTGATTTTGAATTGTGCTTTGAACTACTGTTGCTGTGTGTGCAATCTAAACGCGGGTGGGTGACGGTTGCATGGTGCAGTGTCGGCCGGCTCGTGAGCAAAAGTTGCTTTGAACACAGACTCAAATACCTTGCCCTGTCTCAGCGATTGAAGACAGGCCAGATATTGGTATGAATAGGTGTCATAAGACTAAGTCTACAGAGTATACCTGTGCCATGTACTGGAAAATAGGAGCTAGCGCAACTGTTCTTATTTTTCCAAATCTGTGCCTCGGTTTCTTGTGGATGTCTCTAATAAGCGGTCGGCACTCTTGTACATGTACTGCTGTCGACTAAACCTAAATTGATGAAGGGTAAGAAAAGGACAAAGAGTCACAAGAGCAAGGAAGGCTGCACTGCCACGGGTCCGCGGAGACCCATCTCCTCTGTTCGAAAGAACCGTAACGATGACCGGTACGGAGGACACATCTACAAGTATCATCTCCAAAACGCCCCCTTGTTGCTACAGCAACAGCATACCCCACACACACATGCGCCGTAGTTACGCTACTCAGACTCAAGAGTATGAGGTACACTGCCTGTAGAACCGCAGTCTACAGGACAGAGTTGTTGCTGTACTACGTACAACCAAATGGGTTGTTTCTGTACCACCCAGTGAGGAGACGTAGTCTACTATGTACCGTGAGGCCGACGCCCCAGCTCGAATCAAGGGCATGCCCACGAATAAGCACACAGCATGCACAGACTGGACGATAAAGGCAGTGGCGAACAGCAGGCTCACAAAGTTGACCTCGCTCTTTGTACTGAAAAACAAAGTGCGTTAGGCGGGGAGATTCAAACTGGCTCACCAATTCCCGATGCGTGTTTGGGATCCATACCGCTGGGCGCCGGCCATCTGCTGTGGAGTAAACTGCATGGTAGATGACAGGCAAGGGACCAGGTTTTTTCTTCGGTTAGAAAGTGACTTCTCTCGCTATACGCGTCAGAGATGAGTGCGTTGCGCAGCACTACGACGTGCGCGGGAAAATAAAAACGCGGCGGGATTGCGGTTGTAACCGTCCACACGTCGCTTCATGTGTGTGCGTACCGCGTACAGACCGTGGGTTTATCTCGAATGGTAGTCTTTCTGTGTGTGTGTTTTATTCTTCCTTAATACCGCGTACCGCATCATGTCCTTGTGATATTGTGATGAACGAAGGATTTGTATGCATATGTGAGTTGTCACAGCCTGTTGTAACACCTCGATAGTGATGAAACGGTGCCGCTGCTGTCACCAGGAGGGTGGTGATCGCTGAGGGCGCGGGAGGGGGGGACTCTCTCTCTCTCTCTCGCTCTGCCCACGTATTTCAGATGTGTCATGTTGGCCGTACGTACGTAGGTTTGGCATAGGACAGCTCTTTGATTGGGTCGACAGCAGTAGTCATGGTCAAGCCGGAAGCAAGATGAAACTGCTGTTACAATCAGTGAAAATCCGCCCAAGCAGCGACGATGAAGCGTCTCACGAATCTGACCGTAGCGACACCCACCCTCACACTTCGGGCAGTCTTTCCCGCACCTCCCGCACGGTGCGCGCGATTGTAATTTGGTTGTTAGCAGAGCCGCGACAAACACAAGCGCGACAATGATCGATTCCATGCAGGACACCAGCCGGCGCAGCAGCGGGACCACATCATCAGAACAAGGGAGGTTCACACTTTGTGATTCACCACAGACAGAGGGGACACAGCACATCGATCGACAGATTTCCCACCACCCAGGAGACAAAGTTCATCGCCCTGTCCGCCCAAACTATCTATCACCCGCCCGCCGCCCCCGTCTCCATCCGCGCCTCGCCAACAAAAAAGACACGCTGCTGCTCGTACCTCGTCATCTTCCAGACGAGAGAGAGGACGCATCAAAAATCGTCAAAACCGGAGACGCGGTAAGCACAAATAACCAACATTTCTTCTAGAAGGAGGATGGAAGCTCTCCGTGGGGTCCCCACCCGGACCGCTCGCCCTAGCAAGCTCGCTCTGCACAGATGATGGAGCTACCGGCGCAAAGGGCGCTCCTCGTGGAGCGGGGGGGGAGGCTAACAGTACGAAAGGGCTCCTGCCTCTATTAACAAAAGTCCAAGAGAGGTGGGTCTCCTACTTCGACATCACACACCAGCCAGGGCCCACGCCGGGGATCACAAGACAGACCCCAAGCAGAGGCAACTCACTCACTTCTTGTCACACAAAGCCTTTCTTTTCTTGGAAACCACGACGGAAAAAGACGACGCTTTTCCCGAACAGGGAGGGGACAACGGCGATCCATCCCCTCCCCCCCCCCCCCCCACCTTGCAACCGCACCGCTTGATACAAACGCACGACCACAACATGGAACACAGGACACAAGCGTAACCGACACAAGCACCAGATGAGAGAGAAAGCAAGCACTCCGGCAGGGCTCCCATCTCCTCTTCGACCTGAGAATCAGTGTCTACGTCACTCGACCAACCCGCTTCGAATCACTTGATCCGGATGTCTTCTTCTGTAAGCAGGCCATTGGAGACCTGCTGTAATTGGGGAGGGGTACAGCAGCAAGTACCACGCGCGAAAAAGAAAAACAGAAAATATTCGGGCAGGGAAGAATCGGGCGGTTAGATCGAACACGCCAGACAAGTAACCAAACAGTAAAGTTGGATGCCACCAACACAGACACCTTTGTGATGGCCATCCACCCGTGCGGCGCAACGTTCGATTGTGCATGGCGCGGACAATTGGCATTTCGGACTCGCTCGTATCACGTCCATGTAACAGACAACAGACGTCGGCTTCCAGCCTCCGACACACCGCCGCTACTGCTGTTCCAACAACCACACAACTTCCTTCCAACAAGTCCTTCCTGGTCGCTGCTGGTGCGTCGGAAGAAATCTGAGCGACGCATGTGGTGAGGGTGTGATGTACGTCCGGCCTGCTGCAGTATCAAGAACGGTTACAGATATACTGCCCGGCCGTTGTACGTCATGCAAGCCCTACGACGGAACCATCAAAAATAATAATAGGTGGAGGTGTACATGTAGCATAACATAAACGCAGGTTGGTCATGCACCACCGTCAAGAAATGTGTTACTTTATCCCAGCCTTACGGTCTGTGGAAAGAGGTGAATTCGTCGTGTTTGTGAAAGGACAAAACAAAAACGTGGAAGATACAATGGTCTAATACGCAAAACATGAGTGTGCCCCCCCCCCCGACACACGTGTATGTTGAAACAGAGCTTTCAGCACCACTCTCTCGCTCTCTTTCCACTCCAAAACCTCTTCATTCGGAGCAACACCAACCCTTCGAAGGCCAGAAATCAGATACGCAGACGACGGATCCCCCTCAACCAGCGGGCCACGAACAACTCGCAATCAATCATCCCGCACGGATGGAGGGTTAGGATTGGCTAGGGATGGGCTTGACTCACAATCATCTGGACGTTGCCGGCGAAGAACTGGCGCTGCCACTCGTTATGGTCGAAGTAGATATACTCCACGTTGGGGGGCACGTTCCCATCCGCGGGCCCGACCCTCTTGAACCACAGCTTCAGCACGGATTGAAACCGCCATTCGCGGGCGTGCAACTCCTGCGCCGCGTATGCCTGTCGGATGGTAAAACAAAACGAAACATCGGAGGAAAGAGGGGGGGGGGGGGGGGGGGCCCCCCTCCCCTGTTTTGGCTGCCTTTGCCCCTTAACCCTTGGCCCCCCCTCCTCCAAAGGAAAAAAAATGGAAAAAGGGGGGGGGGGGGGAAAAAGGGGGGGGGGGGGTGGGAGGAAAAAAAC